TTTAGTGATTTCTGGGAGGCTTTACAACTCGTTCCATTTTGCTATGTTGTGGTAACCGAAGTTCAGATTAGTTTTCATAACTTGTATTTTGTATGAATGGCTTTCACAAGCTTAGCATCAGTAGTGTAATACGATCACTTCATAACAGACGTTTAGTGTAGCTCCTCTAGTAGATAACTAGTGTGATGTTAGGTAGATTGTAGGTCTAGGTAGGCCTTTGAGTGACCGGTCATTTACAGCAGGTTTACGTGAGCGATTATGGCTATCAACGATTGAGCTTTGCTGACAAGTTTATCAGATATCTTTTAGGATTTCAGTTGGCACAGCTTGGGCAAAATGCGAATTGACGTTTGAGTAAATTTCGGTTCTCTTATAACAGTACGGTTCTCTTTCTTTCAATTAGTACGGTCTTTATTTTTTTGTCCGGACGGTTTTATTTGGATGAATAGTATCAACACTAAATATCAGTCTCTGGTAAAGTGGATGAAGATTTGAATTTACGTTGGAAAGTTGGAAAATGGATAAATACTGGTTTGATGGTGGAAAATTTGAAAAGGACTAATTTTTCATTGGAAAGTTGGAAAAGGACTGATTTTATATTGGAAAATTGGAGAAGGACTCTGATTTTATATTGGAATAATGGAAGAGGACTGATTTTATATTGCTTAAAATAACTCTGAATTCACAAGAAAATGAGTATTTAAACGTTTCAAAATATTCGGCAAGCGATCATGTGGTTCTGAATTACAAACAAAATTATTCGGACGTCTCAAAATTATTCGGTTGGTCTCACGTATAGTTGATAAACTGCATTTTCTTTTTCTACTGTTGCTCGAGAGATGCTTAAAGGCTAGTTGCGAGTATTCCTTAACTCATAATTTTCAAGATTTCTCATCGGTTTTGCTAAATGGTGTTGCGAAAAAGATATTTCGAGTAATTTTGCTGACCAGTTCTGGTGTTAATTATGCTTCTATATAATATTTGGATCATTGTGAAACCAGCAAAAGTTTTCGTCATTCTAAGTGTAATGCGGTTGGCAGATGTGCCAGAAAAGCAGATCAGGGTCATTGTCTAATACTCTCGTAGTAAAGGATGGGATTGTGGGA